AAGGCACTTTTTGCTTGTTAAATTAAGGAAACTGGAGAGTCTTGAGGAAAATGTTATTGCATTGTTTCCGATTCCACATGTGAAATGCTCTACTTGTTGTCAGTTTCAAAAAAAAAAACAGAAATCAGAACCATCTGAAAACAAATGGGTTCAAAACTTGTTATTGGTTGTATATCTATTTTTTGTTTACAAAATTAAAATAAAAAACATGTTCTTGAATTTCTGGCTTATGAATATAATGATTGATGCCATTTTTCATTAATCATCTAATATCTGTACTTCAAAAATTATTTTTATTTTAGAGATTATCATTTTGATGGTTCCAAAGACATGGATTTTTAATCAAGAACATGTTTCAATTTTTTGCTGCATTCATGATCATATCTAACAAGTCACAACACTCAAGCATTTGTTTTCCAAACTAAGAAAAAACACCTAGAAAAATGAGAAATTAATTCATTTTCCTGTTAAATATCATTCTTCGAAGAAATTAATTTATTTCATTTTATGTGCAACCAAATGCAGCCTAAACTTAAATTGTATTTGCCAATTGTTTATTCCTAAATAAGATCTATATAAGAAATGCTCTCATCTGTCATCAACTACTATCAAACACTATTTTAATACATTCAGTTTGACTACATATCATATTATCATACAATTCAATGGGCCAAGTGAGAATTGCGAGGTAAACCTCTAGGCAACAGAGAACTCAAACAAGGGGTCTTCTCTTTCAAGCAAACAAGTGGTAAGGCCTCATCTCAGAAATGGGAGCAATTGAAGTGTGTTGGTCGCCATATAGTGTGTTGATTGTTGAATGAAGTTAGCCTATGAGTTTTCATAAAAGATGTAGCCAAAAAGGCTTTAAAGACTTATCATATGGATAGTAGGTCCACTAATTTAGTTTCCAAGTCAAATAAAAAAAAAAATCCTAGACATTAAGGGAGCCGTTGATAAATGATAATGGTTGAAGTGGCTGAACAAAATATCTTATCACTTTGTTTTTTTAGTGGAAAACTTTATTAAATAATAAAATATTTGAGGATATAATACTCAACCCAACTTCAATTTCGGCCATTAAGGAACATACAACTTCCTGAATAACTTAGGTTGTGTTTGGTACTACTGCTGTTTCTTCTTGACACATTTTGGGTTGAACAATATAAAGTAGTGAGTTTTGTCATATTACATATGAGACTCATTTTAATTAAAAAAAATACATGTGTAACTGCCATTATAGTGGTATAATGTCAAATTTGAGGCTTTGACTCTAAACGACAATGAATGAATAATCCCCAAATGCATTTTTTGGTAGAAATGACTCTTATGTGATGGTATAGTTTTTCTCACCAATTTGTATTATCAACATTAGATGTTTCAAGAATAAACCACAATGGTACCAAACACAATCTTATTTATCAAAAGACATAATAAGGCATTTAGCTACTTCAGCTGTTAATAAATGACTCCTAATTTAATATGTGTTTGGAATTGTAAATGTTTATTGACTAAACGTTTTGTACTTGATTTGTTTGGAAAATCGAGAAAAGTAATGATGAACCTGCTTATTGACACTTAGGCATCATTAGATGCCACATCAGCAAAACAGTGAATAAACGCCTACCCTTGGGGGAAGTGCTAAAATGAAGCTTCCCCCAACAATAGGCGCATACATAAACCGAAGTCTACTTTTACAAGTCCATATACATATGGATTCACATAATGAGAGAAATGTTAAAGTAGCATTTATGTGGCAATGTTTATTCAAGTTCCAAACACACGTTAGTTTTCCAAATCAACTGAAAAACTCAGCCCTGCCCCTAAGGCTTCTGAGGTCCTGACCGGATCATTAGTTATTTCAAATTTGAATAAATCAATGGGCTTGTTAATGTAGGGGCCAGCCCATCTAGAGAAATTGGCCCAACAGCAAATAGATTATCCTTCATAATTATATTATGCACTACTCTACAAGCAAGATTGAAATGGTAAAAGGTGAAGAGAAGGCACAATATTCAGCACTACTCTACAAGCAAATAGATTGTCCATCTTGTTTGGTCTGACTCTGATAACACTATCTTCATTTAGTTTAAGATCACGTGTGCATATCCAAGTAAGTATTGCTCATATATGACATGACATTTGGGTTTAAATCTGTAGGGAACCCAAAGCAGATATTAATTTACAAATAAATATTAATTATATATGATAATATGGTATTTAGATTTAAGCTTGAAAAAACCTGCAGTTATTTCCCTTTTTATATTTTTGGATGGAAAACGTTTTCAAAAGTATCCATTTTACCTTTACATCTATCCATTTAGATGGAAATTTACTAAAATACCCTCAAAAGATTTAACTCTTAATATAAAATTTCCCTAAGTTAGATTGAAAAGAGTAGTAAAATAATTTTACCCTACAAAAACGTTAGGCCTAATGAAATTTAGAAGAGAATCTAGAATTTTGGATTATATTGAAAGATGCCCTAATACGCTATAACGGCAATTTCATAACTTTGAAGTCTCCATTACTGAGACAAAGATGGAAGGGAGGTAACTGTAGGTTTTTTTTTTTTTTTAAACTACAGAGGAGGTTCTTGTAAAAGTGAAGCTTCAGAGGAGGTTTTTATGATTATCAGAAATTTCAAGGGAGGTTTTTATATTTTACCCTTAAATTTTCATGACCTACATGGAACAAGGCAGGCATCCATTATATAATTGTAGTGTAAGAGCACATGTTAAAGCATGTGTGCAAATAATTATTAAGTATATATAATATAAGTATCTTCTCTATAAAGATAATCATAATTTGCTTCCAAGCCTTAATTTATCCAGATTCAAGATATGAATCAAGGGTTTGCTTGTTAGGTCATTTTTTAACTTCCCTAAACACAACTGGATCATCCACATGGCAACTTTGTCTTGATATCAAATAATCAAAAGGAGTTTCTTTATTCCTCTCCCCACCTATTTGTTCATGGAAATTTGTGTTGAACCAACTCTCATTTCAACGCTTGTCAGGCAAGCGTCCACTAGATTACCCAGTTACAGCACCAGTTCATTAGTCTGAAGGCTCATAAGTCATTATCCGACGACCATGGAGTTGGGCTTACCAACCAAAAGAATCAAAGGGGGAAGGATTGAATTGTCAATAGATCCCCATCAATTCAGGCAACAACCAGAGAAGGTAGATAATTCTGAACTCTGAAGGCCCATTATTCGAAGACTATGAAGTTGGGCTTACCGACCAGTGATCCCCATTAGTGATTAGACTCACACAACACTGTCATCCCTCATCCATTGCAATTCATTGATACAGAAGGTAGGTAAAATTGCACTGAAGCTCAACCCACTTGCTTAAGGAATCAAAGGCTGAATTTTCTTAGCATGAGAAACTCAAATATGTTGTTCGTCGCTTCATTTACTGAATTACTGAACCATGGGGGCGTTAGGTTATTGTTTGATATTTACCACTCATTGGTTCAAAAGGGAGTAGAAACTGTTTCAATCTATACTATTTCAGTTACATATTTATCTCTTCTACAAATTCAGTTATACATCATGAGATCTGAATCTGATTACCACTTTTGATCAAATAAGCAAGCCCTTTTTATTGGCCATCTGTATGGCATGTACTGTCAAAATTTCAATTCAAAAATGAAGGAAATAGTTTCTTTCCTGATACCCAGTGGAGCGCTCTTGGCTCTTGGGATAAAACTTGCTAAACAGAGAGATAATGTAGTGCACAGGTAGTGGAAGGATATGGGCGCTGCCAGTGTTTCTGGGTCGTGTCAACTCTCAAGTCAAGTGATATATAGGAAACCTTTGTATAGCCAAATTGTTTGATAATTTTAATGATAAGTCACACTTTTGACAAACTTTGATGATTCAATTCACATGGAAGATGGAAGAGACTACACAATGTAGAAAGATAAACATTACGTCACAAGTCACAAACCACTTATTCATGATTCAAAGAAGAAAACATATTCAAAGGGTACAGTGATAGTTGGGCCATCTCTGATCAGGCAGGACTAGGTAGTGGCTTTGTTGGAGTGGACATCCCTAACAAAGCCTTTGGCTTTGGCTTACAAGGATGAGAAAACCAAAAGAAAAGAGAACATGATGCAAATAGCACTTTGTTTGACTGGGGAAGGAAGTGGGTCCCAAGCACTCACGCCTAGAAAGGGAGATAGGTACTTTTCACCACATTACATGAAACCAGACTGACTTACAGCTTCACTTTTCTTTTGTGGTTATTTTATGGCTTGTCTGGATACGTAGTTGAGTGGAAGAGATAGTTGAGTAAAGGAAGACTACTTTAGTGGATGTTGTAGGAATGGGAATAAGCTATTGGTAGGAAGGAGGGCTTGTGTTTTTTATGAAAGTCTAGGAAGCACATGGCCTTTGTTGGCTTTGGCCAGAGAGGGGAAAGGGAAGGAGAGTGTATAGGTGCATGCATCATCAGCAGTGATCATGACGAAAATAATGATGGTGTCCGTGGGGGCATAATTGCTGAATTGGCTGAGCTGAATTTCTTGTTGGTCGTTTAGTTGAGGTGGTCATACAGTATAATATTTTAGGGGTAGCGAGGTAGGTTAAAGTAATCACTACAACATGATTCAGCAATTAAGGAGCTCATCCAATTCAACCACTACCAATGTGTTCCTTTTAATGCTAAAGCTAAACTTGTGTTCAGAAAGTCTGTATAAAGGGAAAGGAAATAATCAAAAGATAGAACATAGTATAAATCTTTCTATATACAAGACAAACTACACTCTTTGCCATAGTCACATGAGCAAATGACCTAGTACAGATTTCCCACAAGTCTACATAGTTCCAAGTATGAATCTTCTAATGTGCTGCAAATTCTTTTGCAGTAGACCATTACCAATTTAGATCTGATAACACTTTAGTTTAGAGTATGGTCAGGGTTCATGAATGGATAAAAATGTGATAGGAAACAATGAAGATCATGATAACATTATAATTGGACACAATGTGTATCACATTCCAATGAAGTAAATTTAGGATAAAGCAGATCAGGTTCATGTTCTGATTGAAGACAATCATTATATTTGGCTACAAAAAATTCATGATGTTCTAAGATAGCAGAAGAGGACAAGGATTTGTGACAAAGTGCATTTCAGCTATGTACAGGAACCAGATAAGCCAATTACAGTTGACTTTCAATGCGTAAATGAAAAAAAAAAAAAGGAGAAACCAATCTAATTCAGGTCCAAACATGTCAAACTTGTACTACTGATATCACATGTGTTTTGGGAATGACAAAACCAGCTCTCCTCTCCTCGAAGGAGTATTCAACTTCTTCATGCATCTCTTCAATTTTATCAGCACCAAAAAGAACTGTGGCAATTGCAGGAGCTGGAGTTGTAGCTGTTTGCATGGGTACGGAAATGGTTGAAGGAGTAGTGGGCACTGGAATTGGCATCTTCTCCTTGGGGGTCCTGTTATCTTCAATTTTATTAGCACCAAAAAGAACAGTGGCAATTGCAGGGGCTGGGGTGGTAGCTGTTTGCATGGATACAGAAATGGTTGAAGGAGTAGTGGGCATTGGAATTGGCATCTTCTCCTTGGGGGTCCTGTTATCTTCATCAGTAACGCAAGCCAACTTGGAAGGTGTAGCCAATGGTGTGTTGCTATTGGGGAGTGTTTTCTGCATAGTCCCACCCTGCACTTTGTTTAGATCTTCCAGAAAATTTGGGTTGACCTTGGGTAACATTGCTGCAGAGAGAGGGGAAAATGGCTTTCTTGTCATGGGTGATTCAATTTCATGAGAATTTGCAGCATTGAATGAGTGCTTCTTTACTGGGAGACCAGCAATATCCAAGCCTCTCCTACCTGCATAAAGAGTCAAAGCAAACTCATAATGAAAGAAAATTCAAATGACAAGAACAACCCTTCAGAGAAAAAAATAAGAAAAAATAACAACCTGCAGACAAAGCTACACAACTATCATCCTGGTGGTGGCTTAGTAAACCACCCTTCTTGCTTGGGCGTAAATGTGGAGTAAGTTTTGCAGGGTGAGGCAGATCAGGTTTAGGAGTTTGCAACATTGCTCCACCAAGTGAGAGTCTTCTACCATTTGCACCTCCAATTGACATTCTAGGACCTTTTTTTCCACTCTGGGGCTTTGATGGGCTTGGCTTTGATCCAAACAGTGCCTCCTGCTCTGCAATTAATTGTCCCTGGAGTTTCTTTTGATCCTGCAAGGGTCAATGTTTGGGCAAAGATGACATTGTAGTACCATTACAATACTGTGATTGACTAAAAGTAACTTCAGAACCGGAGTGGTCATACCCTCTGTCTTTTTCTTTCTTGCTCTTTCTCTTGCCTTAAAATATTGTATTCTTCGAGCATAGAAAGAAGCCTGACCTGTAACATGGAGAACAAGAATGGATCATTATGAATATGTATTGGCTAACTTGACAATTGAAGTAATTTAATTAAGTCAGGTGCCAGTTCCAGAAAAAAAAAATAGACAAGGGGAAGGCCAAAAAGAGCCTGGATTCTAATTCCAAAAAAATAATATCCAATAGCTTAATCTTGTAAATAATATATGTCAGAGTGGAATGGAAGATAAAGGTGAATAAAGCAGACAAAGTGATGACTGAGAATTAAACAGGTAGTACTTACACCATCATATAAAAATTCAATGCCTCTTTCTCTCTCCCATGTTCTGACTTTTGTCCCCAGTGCATCTATCATTGCTGCTCCAAAACCAATAAATTTTAGAAATTAAATGATTCTATGGCTGCCTAGAAAAGTTAGACTTGTATAAGGTAAACAACAATATTTCAACCTAATAAGAACTAGGAAGAGTTAACAGTACATGTGATGCAAGAAGTGTACCAGGAAGTTTGTTAACCACAGCACGAGCTTTCTCAGCTCGCTTTAATGTAAGATGTGCACCTCTTCCAGCATTATAACGGTTTTCATCCTGAAATACTACCTCATATGTGAGAGTACTGATAGGATATAGAAATATCTTCTAAGAAAACCAAGGCAAAGCACCTGACCCTGTTATATTCCTCAAGCCAGCTCTCCTCTTCACATGCAGCCAACCATTTCTCAACCTTTTCCAGTATCTCTTTCCTGCTAAATGCTTCCTCTTTGACCTTTGCAATTTGAAGTTCAATCTGTTCCAGAATGCAGGCAGGGTCCACAGCTCCTGAATAAAAAAATTATGATAATTGCATACTGGAAATCATATTGAAACTGAATACTGGAAATCAAAGAACAATACATTCCATCAGATTCTCTTACCAGATTCAATAGCTTCAATTGCATATTCCATTCCATTATCTATTTCTGCCACCATGTGTGTCCGCCTGCAAATCTCTTCCATCTCTGATCTCTTCTTCAGAACAAGTTCTTTCATTTTACTAGCTTTCAAATCCTCAAGTTTAGACACTTCCTCCTCAACCTGCATCTCATGTCTACTTAGTTCTTATTTCTGGCCATGAAGCCTATATACTCAATGGGAGTAAATAAAACAACAGTAAAGATTTTTCTCAAAAAGTTTCTCCTCCTTTTCAGTGTACTGTTAAACTCACATAATTAATAAACTCCTCAGAGAGGATGTTCGGTTCAGTTATTTCTTGTTCTGAAGCGGCTATTTTACAGGTCACATTCTGAAAAATTTGTTGCTCCCCAATTGGTGTATCCATCAAATTCCACAACTCCAACATGGTAGTTGCAAGATCTTGCAACTGCCACAATTTGATACATCAGTAAACTTAATGAAAAAAGGCATAAAATGAAACAGAAAATCATAAAATTAAGTTTCTAGATCAATAAATTACCCTTCTCATTCTCTTTATCTTAACCTCCAACAGCTTTTGTATTGCAGAGTCCATCCTCTCAATTGTATCATCACTTATGTTCTTTGTTCCTTCAGAATCATTCAAACTGGGGTGAACCTCATTAATTGTTTGCTTGAAATCCATGCCAAGAACCAAACAGAGTGAGTTCAAAGTACTCAAGTGATCCAGGACCTGTTTCAGGCGATCACTCTGTACAAAGAAGGAAATTAGATCAGTTGCTGGCATTCAAAAATGATTGATAGCATTTACTTTTTTTTTTCTTTTCTATGTGTGTGTTGGGGAGGAGGGGGGGTTCACCTTTTCCTTTTGAAGTGCATGCAGTTGCCTGTGCAACTCTTCAAACTTTCTCATGGACAAGTCAGTTTCGTCCACAACTATCTTAGAAGAATTATAATCTGTTGATTTGCAAATCTCATTTGAGATTCTCTGTATTTGCTCAAGAACTTCAAGAAACTGATTCCTTCTGTCACATTTTCTCTTTCGCATCTCCTCTAATTGTGGAATAATAGCTGCAAGCTCTTCCTTCAATCTTCCAGAGTTCTGATCAGACTGGATACAAGAGCCCACTTGTTATCACTTTGATATGAAGGATATTTTAAGCAACTGAAGAACAGTTCAAGAAATGATGGTGTGGTTACCAAAATATCAAGCTTCTTCTAAGACAAAACTGATTTTTTTTTTTCATCCTGGAAGCTATGATGCATGGATAAAGTTGGATCTAGAGACCCACCTGTCGGATATGCACTGGTCGCTCACCCATTGCTGAGCAAATTGTTGCAAGTTCTGCCTCATTATCTGCAATTGCTTGTCGTAGCTGTGCTCTGCACCGGTTTGCCTGATCTACCTTTCTTCTATATACTTCTAGGCATTCTCGTTCTAGTTCAAGTAGCATTTTATCCCTTTCAGCTTCAGATTCTCCAACTTCATCCCATATCATCTGAATTCAACAATATCATGGACAATTGAAACATTAGAAATATAGCAATTGATGTGTAATCACCTTCAGATTGCAATTGCAACAAAATCAAATAAACAACAAGAATAAATAGGGGAAGAGATAGAGATGTAAGAAAGATGATCATTCTTTTATATTAAAACTTCAATAAAAAATAAATAAATGATAACCTGAAGCTCATATAGAAGGGACCCACAAGTTGTTTCCATTTGCAAAAGTTGATCGCTTTGGAGATTCGACATGTTGAAACTTGAAATCAATACTTCTCTGCAGAGGGCAATAATTAATCTAATGATACATCCCAAGAATTGAAAATAAACTGATTTAACAATAGGTTCATTCCCAACCCCAGAATGATTAATAATACATCAATGCTGTGAAACAGAAAAACATGGAAAAAAAAGGAAATTGTCCTTCAAAATATATTGACTAATAACAAGGGAAAATAGGTAATCAATAGGTTGAAGCCTCTCTTGTTCAGAACCAAATACACAAGGGCATGAAATCAACACCATCAAATATAACATAAAGGGCAACTATATTGTTTGATGGATCACTATTAACATATCAACATTTAAAATGTATAATTTTTTTAAAGTTTAAAAATGTTAACTAGATATATCTTATGTTATCTGGATATGGTTGGATGCAGTACCAGATATGAAGTTTATACCAAAGATTGAAGCATCCCACACAATACAGCACCCTTGTACAGGTATATGGGTATCATAGGACATATCCATCTGACTGAAACATTATTTGTGAACGAGGGTGTTGGGAGAGTGGACACTCTCAAACTCAAACCCATATTCTCACGCTTGTCAGCCCAAGACCAATGCACCAAGCAATGGCCTCTTATGACAATACTAATCTCATCCATCTAGGGTGTTGGGAGAGGTGGAGACTGGATAGGATCCCCTAATGACAGTATAAGTTAAGATATTAAATTTCGTGTCACCTAGAAATTCTAAGGCGGCATTTGGTTCTCCACAGAAAGTAACTTTTTTGTTGACGAAGTGGCAAGCCAAAAGCCAAATAAGTAAATAAGAAACCACCTTCCTCAAAAAAATTAAAAAAAAAAAGTATCCACCTACTGAATCTGCTAGGCCATGCATGGGAATACAGAAACAAGATTGTGAATCATCTAAAAGTTGTGATCTTTCGATTATACCTAATCAAGATCCAATTTCTTGGGCATACCTCGTATCTTTTCCCACATGCAATTCTTATAAGTTTTTCTTCATAGTTTATAGTTTATAGTTTATAGTTTATATACAAACACTAATTCTTATACCACCAAATGGATAAAATGCTACTCAGGATGTGTTTCAGTAATGAATTGAACATAACACTGAGAATCTCAAAAAGCTATAAAGCACCAATCTAGAATAATTATGAGATAAAAAATTATCGAAGATTAACTTTTTATTCTCCTTTTCTAATATCCATTTTGTGTATATTCCGATAACTGCTAATGTAGCAGCTCATCCAATTTCTCAGCATATGAAAAACTAATTCTAGGGAGAAATTTTGGTGCTCTCCTCCTCCTTGGTTGTCTTCTGTTGTAAGCATTTCATCTTCTGAGTTTAATTAAAGTTATCTTATCCACCAAAAGAAAAAAAAAAATCATCCAACAGAGCCAACCAATACCCAGAAACCTTAAAAACGTTTCTAAGACTGTTTCAAGGAACTTGGAGTTTTTTGAAGCTTCAAAGGGAAAATCCTCTGCGCATGAGGATTTAGGGTTTCCGAAATCAATCAAACAAAGAGGATCTGAACGAGTTACTGTCCAAATGTCGGAGGAATTTTGAGAAAAAAAAAAGGTCTTGAAGCAACGAAAGGTAGAATCTTCCTGAAATTTAGTGAGTGCAAGTGACATGATGATGATGATGATGATGATGATGCAAATGCTTCTCATTGACTAGAAAGAAAATTTCCTCAAGACCTCGAGGCAGGTACCAAAAGGGTTGCATCATTTGATAAACCCCAACTCCATGAGTTTCAACAACTAGTAAAAATCTAGAAGCTTAAAATTTTCTTACCGACTTTCAGATTAAGGACCTAGGATTGATTCGGATCGAGCCTTGATCTCGATTTGGTCTTTAGAGATGGAGTTCTCTGCAGATCTTCGAATAATCAAATCCTGGTTTTCACTTCACTTGCTTGCTCAGTTGCTCCCTTCGTTCAAATTTCAAAAAGGCTCGCGTCGCTTTTGGTTCTTACTTCTAAATGATAGGCAAGGAAAGGAAAGGCAAATGCTAGTTAGACGGGCTTCCTAGTCACAGATCCCTTAACACCCATAATCCCCCTCATTTCAAAAATAAATTAATAGAGCTCTTTCTACCTTTTGCCATTTTGTGATTAAAGGGTTCCGTGTCGAACACTGCCGGTGGCGCTAGGCTTGCTCGAAATTTTGAATTCTTTGATTTATTTCTCGAACGTTATGGGACCCACACATATGACATATCTTAAAAAGTCATAATATTCTGGAAATTTAAACAATTTAACCGTTTCAAGGTTGGCCCGGTCACTTTCTTCCACTTTTTTAACTTTTAATTTTTTAAATAGAGTAGAACCGGCTTTGAATTAGGATAAATTACAAACTACTCCATGTATTTAGCAAATGCTGATACTTAGCCCCCAATTTTATTTTCCGACAAGAAACTCTACTGAACTTTTGATTTCAGCACTTTACCCCCTAATTCCGTTAATGAGGTTAGTGGTGAAGGTAAAATTAAAGCTGTCAATGGATTCTGAAAATCCAATATAAGATCTGATTATTTCGGATTTCAATAATGTATTTATCTAATGAGATTGGATGTGAATTTGACTATTTGATCCGATAAAATTCAAATTTGATTATATTATAATATTTATTGATTTTAGTATTTAAAATTTATATAATTATATATAAAATTATGTATAATAAATTTAGTATGTTATGTTTATATTAATTTATTATATAAAAATGAAAAGTAATTAACTTTTTATTTTTTATATTTAAAAAAATTAAGCAAAATTGGATTAAATTTAGGGTTTGTTTGGTTCGTAGTCGGAATCGAAATTGAAATCCTCTTGAATCGGAATCGGAATGGTTCATTACCATAGTCTGTTTGGTTCAGACAATAATGGGAATGGAAATTAAAATCAGCACGAATTGGATTTCATTCCCAAGGGAGAGGTAAGGAATGGCCATTCCCTCAAATGGGGGAATGCTATTCCAGTAGGAATGGAAATG